AATTATCTGATTGTTCGTCGGCTCATCACTAACCTCTGACGCCAATCTTGCGAATTGGGCCTGCAGGCACTGCTTACAGGATCCGTTTCCTACCCTCTATTGATGAAACATGAAACATGTTACCAGATCTTGATGTATACTAAAAACAGGAGTCAGCCCTATGCGAATGCAGTCTTACTAGGGCCGCTGATGTCTGTCACAAGCTGTTGTTAAGTTACCATATGCTAGTAGGCTTAAAGGATTCAAATGAGTCGATAAATTGAATCGACTGCAGAGGACAAGATCCATGGAACGGACGAAAGTGAGTTCTTGGTGTCGTTGATGGCATTTGAGGAATTGCCGAGGCGAGAAGTATCAGTCAGCACATTTTTGCCCCATCCAAAACCCACCGATTCTTTATGCTCCATGCCTAACGCAGGAATCACCAAAGTTACACGGTCAAGCAGACCTAGCCTGCCGCCTTTGTTGAGGATCAGTATAGAAAAATTCAGATACGAAGTCGTTGACCTGCAAATGTTTGCTCCTCTTAATTTCACTATATTGATGCTTGGTGGACTGCACTCACAGCTGTATTCGAGTATGGTTTTTTTCTATTTGTGCGGCACCTGAGAGTAAGTAACCTTTGGGTCTTTGGAATCATGACAAGTACGACACATGCCACAGCATCTTTGCCCTGATTGTCATAACAGGCTGGTTAAAGCATTATCTTTTTTCCAAAATTCGTCACAACCTGGCGTCTTTTGGTAAGCTTACTCTAGATTTTCTGGCTGTCCTACGCAGTCTTATCATGCACACACTTGAGTTCCGGATTTCTGCGAAGGTTAGCAGTCGGATTGTTTCACTAGATCTCTATTGTTCGCATCGACTCAGTTGTAATCTGCTATCTTCGATGGGGTACGCTCGACACCACAACTCCGTACGAGTCAGCTATCTTTTGCAAAGGCAAGATCTCCAAACCCACTTGACTTTATTTCGCCTCTTAGCTCGTGCCTTTTCTGTAACTGCCTCTGAACCGTAGCTACCCCCTTGTAATTGCATGCTCAAAATCATTCATACTGTTGGTCTCGGCACCACCTATTACTCTAGAGTCTGGCGCAGACTTGTTCCAGTGTGATCATACAAGTTTGCGGTCAACTAATTCTTGTTTGTGACTATAAATGAAATGCAAGGTCATTAGGTGTCTATTACTGTGATAGGCACACGCATTTCTAACCAAATGATTCAGCGCATATTTCTCACCGTCTGTACAACAGTTTTCAACTGCGTTTTGCTCGAAAAGTCAACTCACAAATGCATCGCAGTTGCCCTTCCTAAAGTTTAAGTGCTCCACTCAGACGAGAATGAGTGTCTTCTTTGATTACTTCATGGAAGACTATTTGCCGTTAATCCGGAGTTTTAATGCTTTCACCGTCCCTGCAAAGCTATACCTCGGCTAAACCACTTCTCCTTTTGGTTAATTAATCACAACGATTGCGACAGCGCGCACAGTTTTTGGCAGAACCACCCTAGTTTGGGGTGGAGTCCCACCTTGGCCCCTGGTGTCTTTACATTACACCGTCCATAATCGAGGTTCTATGTTCACATTGTACTGCATCAACGATCGCATGGCGAGGTTCTAGTTTGGCGAGACAAAAATAGTCTCGTACACAATGCAACTATTACTTCCTTATTGATAAGCCTGTTTAGACATTCACTATTTGTTCTACTGATAAAGTTCCGGGTGCATCGAGTGCCGTGAACACCATAGGAGACCCTGCATAACAGAAAGGTTCCGTGTTTTAAGCCAGCGCCACAACGAAGGCATCTGGTTACTGAACGGTTGTCCCACAGTTGGGCGTCTTTTATGATCTTTAGCCAAAAAAATACCGCCGCTTTTTGAAAGAAATTTATATTTACTTATTTAAAACTCACTCTCTGGTTTGAGCTGCGAGTTTAATGTTTGAGCAAAGTATTGCCTTTACCACAGCCGTTGCATTTGATGAAAATTTAGCCTAGGCTAGCAGGCCTAGTTTGGGTTTTCGCAGCCACGACAGTTGTCAGCGAAAAATGTCAAAAGGTAAATAAAAGGTAATCTTAAGGTCGCCAGTTAGAGTCTCGAGTGGCGCACCATCCGAGACTGGGTACGACTGATGACGGCTAATAGGCGAGAAATAGTCATTCCAGTCTCCC